ATTTCACTAAAGTTATGTTCTAACTATACGAAAAGGATGGGGAAGGGGAAATGTCCGTCTTGGAGGGGGATTGCATAAAACAGCCAAACCCCCATCTTCCTTTGTAGGAAGTCAACAGTCAGTAATCTAAAAGATTAAATCAATCAGTAAGTATCTGTGTAACATATTATCCTGAAATAGGAAGGCAGATACCAAGATTAGAAAGTGGCATTGCCTCTGAGAGCAGAAGTGAGGGTTGAGGGGAAGAGAGATGCTGGTTTTTTTTTTAACCTTCTAGAGCTCTTTGACTTTCAGAAATATATACTTTCAGATACATATAACTTTAAGATACATTAAAATACAATTCTAGGCAATGAAAGTGTGTTTTGAACATATTGTAGATTCTTCTGTACCTTGCTGTGCTCCTATAAAAATACCTTGCCAATCATCTCAGATCAGCACGATAAGCAGACTTCATTCTTTTTCATAGTTACATGCAGTGTCATTTTGCAGACAGATTTGTTGGCATGCAAATTTATGAATATATGTATTGGGATATTACAATACCAGAAGTAAAATTCTAGGTCAGAACTTTGAGCTATTTCTAGATATTGCCCTCCAAAGATGCTGCGCCCAAACGTATGGCCTCACCAGTAATTGCCACACACGCTTAACCAACACTGTGTATTCCAAACCACTCCATCTCTTCAGTCTGATATGGGAAAGGATATATTGTCATTGATTTAACTTGCATGTCTTTAAATTTATTTTTCTAAAAACTGTCTATTCATTCCCAATTTATTTATTTTTAAAAAGGTTTTTATTTATTTATTTGACAGAGAGAGGAGGGAGGGGGAGAGAGAGAACACAAGCAGGGGGAGAGGCAGAAGGCAGCTCCCTGCTCAGCAGGGAGCCCAAAGCGGGACTCGATCCCAGGACCCTGGGTCCGTGACCTGAGCCGAAGGCAGACACTTAACGACTGAGCCACCCAGGTGCCTCTATTCAATCCAGGTTTAAAAATCTTTCCTCATTCAGATCCCTTTTCCATTCTCTTCTTACTTTCTCTATCCTGTGTCCCATAATTGCTTGTCCTTCTCTTCCTTTACAACACTGGATAAAATTTATCTTTCCCAGAAAACTTCCATAATAATGTTTTCATTTCCTCTCAGCATTGTATATTTATGTGCCTATAGTCACAATTATAGGTATATTCCTCAGTTCTTAAGATGTCTGCCAAAAATACTGATTGTGATCTAATGATAATTATAAAGATATAGAGAATTCCCTTTGCGTTGGCTTTCATCATACAGTATTTCACAGAATGTAAGATGTGACTGATTGCAGGACACAAAGTAAAAGGGCTGCCAATTGAAAGAAAAAACCACAATGCTTTCTTATCACTTAGAATTTTTATTTTAACATTAGTGAATATTATACAATTCATATTTTTACAGCCTATGGAAGTAAAAGCACTATGTAAAATGTTAATATATAGCTATAAAACAGTAGGAGTTGTCTTAATAAAATGATGCCTACCAAGTACTAACATTAGTAAAACAGGGTCTGCTGTAGTGTTGGTTTAATTAAGACATTTAAACAACCAGTACTGTAAAACAAAACCGATATTCCATTCAGTCACATGAAACTTTCTGACTATGACTCTAGAATACAGGAATTCCTATTATACAGTTTGAGAAGCTTATGGCTCTGTGATTTATTTACACCACTAAAATCCCGATGAGATTAATCTCATTGGCATGTATTGCTATACCAGAGGGCCTAAGATCTAAGATCCATGTTGGTTTGGTTATCAACAAAAATTTTCAAAGTTCGGAGGTGACATTTTTCAGAAAGACATTAGTCCACAGATACACATATAAACAAAGTACTAAGTTTCTCTATTCAAGGGCAGGTATATTCATTTTAAGATAATATAAGAATGTACAACAGGTTGCTTTACAATTGTATTTTATAATAAGAACAATAAACTAGGACTTAAGTTAAATGAATTTCTCAACAGGAAATGATTCTGAGAAATAGCATAAACCTTTTAACATGCAGACTTTCTGTAGAGAGTATGATACTAAAATTTACGTATAGCTTCATGTTTCCACAGAATAATTTGTAGAAGGAAACAACTGAGAGTAACAGCATACATATATTTAGTCTGTTACTATTTTCAAAGCATTAAAATTTTTTTAATCAATGTAAACAACAATCCAGTGAGAGATTTTCACCTCCCATTTTATAGATGATGAAGTTCAACAGTGATAATACAGAGGGAATCACTGTAGTTACTCTTTCTCAATTTAATTTATCGGAATATTTTATTTATTCCCATTTTAATATTATGTTGCAGCCTTATAGAAGAATATTCATTTACACTGAAAAGCAAAAAGACTGCATATGTACTATGCCTTTGGAGAGTGAGAGAATTATAAAGAATTTTAATGAGCTAATTCATTTTTAAATCTCTATTTAAAGAACTGTTCTCTTCTTCTATTCCTCCTACATATTATGCAAGTGTTAAAAAATTTGTCCATTTCTAGTACCATGTAATTCACCACATCCCTTGTCTACTTTTTAAGAATCAATATAAAGGAAAACAATACCTTAGGATAAAAAAAAAAAATAAAGAACTGTTCTCAATAGCAATTTCTTCATGTAGGCAAGACAATATAACTTAAATATAAAAGTAAATTGCATTTTTTCAGTTATCCTGGATAGCAAATAATTAATATTGAGAACATCCAGTGTAAGGTAAAATAGACTTTGTGCATGTTAAATGAGTGGGCTGGCACTTTCATTTAGTCAATCAATTGAATCAACCTTCAAAGCAGGTGAAATTAAATTATTATACTATATGGAATCTTCAAATCTACGAATCATATATTTCTATAGCAATGTAAGAAATAATACCAGATAAAGAATGCAAAAAGTTTAACAAATACATAGTCAATGATAATAGTAACATCTTCTTGGGAATAACATTACTTTTATAAATAGGCTGATGCAGAACTATCAATTTCACATTAATAACTCACAAAAACAAAGTCAGTATTTCCTATTTTCATATGCAAAAGCAAGGTAATAGCTGGAGTATGTACAATTTACATTAAATACATCTTAGGAAAGAAGATAAATGAACTTATCTTCCACATATAATATATAAATATATTAACTTAAATTCATTCTTTATTTTTGCACAGTATCCTTTTATAAACTACACTTTTTAACTGAAGAGACTTCCATTAGGTACTATCAAATTATTTTCTCCATGTGAAAGTCTAATTCTGTTTCTCACTAGAAAGTTTTTCTTTTCTCTTTAAGTCATATTGTTTTGAAATAATGAATTACACTTAAATTATTCATTATTACTGGCTGTCTGGCATGTGGTCCTTTCACAAGAAACAAAATATTAACTTCTACCAAATATATACATCGCTCTTCTAAACCATTTCATATTTGCGTTTTATAGCACTCGCAGACTAATGATATGCAGTAAGTCACAAAGCTTCAGGAGACTATTCTGACTAGTGGTACGAATGTACGCCGTCTGTGGTTAGGGGCAGAAGCGTGTCCAGGACCAGAATGGCAAGGATGGCGACGGCTGCCAATAATGACACTCTTTCCACCAGCGAGATGGGACTTTTTTTGAGGAAAAAAAAAATCTACATTTTACATTTCTTTACTGTATACATAAAAGAATAACAGACATTCTGATGACTTTGGTAAATGAGCAAAAACTTTTTAAAAACTTTATATGATTCACACAATATATGTTAAGTACTTTTAAACGTTAAAAGTACAATGTAAACCATCACAGTATATTATACAGTAACTTAATTTCTATTTGTTTTTCAAAATTATTTTAATGTAATTAAAAACCTGGTAATAATGGGGGTTTATCAACAATTTTAAAGGCCCTAAAATAAATCTCAAGGAATATTCATTTTCTGAAAATAAGTTCACAGTCCAAAACCAAAGAAAATATGTTGTTGCTGTTAATTTTTAAGGGATCTAGATTCCAGGAGTCATACATTATTTTGAAATGAGGCAATTTCTAATAAATAAATAAAAAATTTAAATACATTCTTATATAGTCATTGGAAGTATCTATATACTTCTGAAGGGAATGAAAAAGTACAGAGTTCAGTAAATCAAGGCAAAAGCTCAACTTGATAACACATAACATGTATAGTTAGTGAGAAGATGCATTTTAAGTGTCTTATGTTCAAGAATTCTGACAAATTATAATTAGCATTTCATCTTTTCCTTCATTTCTACATGTTCTGATCTCAGACCTGCTTCCATTCTCTGAAATTTGTGCTTCTTGCATCGTCGTGTAGATAATAATCCTTACAACTTTGCTTTGGAAGTACCTAATTAAAAAAAAATATATATATATATATAAAAGCAATATTTACTTAGGATGAAACCAAGAGTGATGGCATTAATCAACTATTATTATGGTATTAATGTGAAACAGTAAGGCACATAATGAAAACACTCGATGGAAAATATAAGATTCAAAGACTTCACTAAAACTTTTCCTTTAACTTAAAAGTTGAGTATTTTGTTTAGTAACTTGTCTAACCTTTGGTACTGTAAGGTCTAAAAGAGATGTTTTTGTCTCTTGGTCTATGTACTACTACATGGTTGGGAATACTACCTAAATGAACAAATGATAGGGTCTTACTTTTTTTAATGTTAGTTTAAATTCTTATAGGGAGTATAAAGCTCCTTCAAATAGAGACAAAGACCTGACTTCTTTTGTTCACTCAACAGTTACCACCTTAGATAGATAAATAAGCCTACTTGCCTCTAAACATTTTAGATCCAACATGAGTTTCCCAAATGAGTTCCATAAAAACATTAGATATGAAAGCTTTGCAAAATAGTGGGTACCTGGTTTTCTCTTAGAGAGACAAATAAATAGTGGCATATTAAGATCTGATAAGTTCTAAGGGGGAAGAAACCTACTGAACCATGCTTATTATAGTATTTCTCAAGCTTATTGGACTAAGCAGCTTTTTTTGTTTTTTAGAATAATACACATTGATATCCTATGGAACCACTTTGGGAAATACTGCTATAGACAAATACAAACGTTTCAAGCTCAAGAGAGATAGCAAGAAATATACATATTTGCAAGCATTCACTGTCCAGACCTAACTAATCAGAACCCACAATCAACCAACATTTTATAGCTACAATAGGCTCTTACAAGAAAAAAGGAAAAGCAAACCTCTCATTCTGGAGATTAGCAGCAAATATGAGTTACTTCTTTGGGTTGACACAAACTGAATGAATCTCCTGTATCTTCCTCAATTACTGTATTCTATGGTGATAGTTTAGTAACTAATACATAAGATGGCTTTGCCATCAGACAGAATGAGGCTCAAATCCTAGTGGGCCACTGACTAGCAAGTTATCTTCGGTAAATTACTCACTACGTCTTTATTTTCCCTGGTGTTAAATGGGACATCTGTCTCTGACTCTACATGTGGAACACCTCGTACAGGGCCAGGCACCTAAAATAACTAAAAAGTTACCTGCTATTATTGCAGCCGATGTTTGGACATGATCCTATAAAACAGTAACTAATATTCCTTAGATGCTAATGGTCCTAGATGATGAAAATCCTGCTTGGAGTTGTTATACTGTATCTGCTCAGATACAAAACTGTAGGTTTAAGAGAAAATTTTTCTTTCAAGACATTCCAAGAGAATTCCAGTCAGATGAGTATTTATTCTAGTTCATTTTTGGATCACAGCTTAATAGTAGCAAACCAATGCTTTGTTGTAATGGCTAATTCTTAAATTAAATTACTGGTCTAAAATCATTAGAAGAATAATTTGTAAATTGAATTAGTGGCCTAAAAATAAAAAAAAATAAGTTATAAGTCTATTTCTTTCAGCGATTTCCTAAATGTCATCATAGAAAAATAGATTATGACCCTTCCTTTGTTACTGAACAAATTTAGACAGAGACGCTAACATACTTATCTGCTATGAAGTTCCTTCTTTAGACAGGATTTGAAAGTGGGATACTTCTGCACTGTTTTATAACCCTGTAGAACAGAGGATTAAAAAGTAAGCAAATGTAAATAAAATGTTATGGGGACACAGGTATGCAATAAATACATAAAGCAAAAATAAAAACACATAAAATTTGAGAGAGAAATAGTGTCAGAGGCTTCTAGCATAGTTTATATTTTAATTCGATCTTGCTACTCTAAAATTTTTGAGGAAAAATAAGTGATTTTCAACGTATATCCATCCTTTCAGGTTATTCGTGCCATCAGTCACCAATGTTAACAAGTGACCGCTAGGTGGCAGTTAAGTACACAGTATCTGTACCAACACGCTTTGGATTTTTAAAAAGTCATTAAAAATCCCTAAAAACGTTTCAGATGAATTTTGATTTTTTTGGGGGGGTATATATAACTTTTTATCTTTTTAGATGTATAATACTTAGGGGTATTCTTACCAAAGAGAGAAGACTGAACATTCTAGCTGTTACAAGAAAAATTTTTTCTTTTTCCATTTGTGGCACATCCACAAATATGTTAAATGTGTAAACATTTGTTGACTTACACTATAGTTCATAATTTAAAACATATTTCTGAGAAAAAATCATTAGTAATTTTCAGTATAAGGCAGTATAAGAAACAGTTCAACAGACAAAATTTTTTTTACCTTGTTTTCCATTTAAAGTACTGAAGATGCAGTGACTTAAGAGCCTCGAATTGCTTACTGGAAATCTGCATCGTGCAAAATGAGAATCATGCTATTTCTTTGTATAGTACCAAGTCTGAACTGCCTGTGTGCTGACTGAATTAATCAAAAAATATTTGGCAACAGTTCTCCCCACAAACCGAGATGGAGACATTAAATTAATTGAATATGAAAATAAGTCACTGAAATTCAAACTGATTTATATTTTTAAAAAGCATTAACTTTTATCACCTTAAAGTGTTTTGGAAAATAAGTATGACCTTATGTTTTTTCTTCTCAAATATAACATTTCACATTTATATCCTTAAAAATTTATATAAATTGTTTTTGAAACTTAGACGGGGTTTTTTCCTTCTTCAATTTTTAAAAAGGGTATCAATAGGCTTCAAGTTTATTGGTTTACCTGGAATCCTCTATGGAGTCTGTCTTTCATAATTCCAATAAATTCTTTATAACTTAATTGATCATCTTTGTCAACGTCAAAAATCTTGAAGACTGTGTTCACTAAATGTGGTGAAAGTTTGAGGCCAGTAGCTACATAAACGGCACGCTTGAACTCATCTAGATAAATGTTACAGAAAAGAAGTAAACGGTTAACATTATTTTTATAATCTGTTAATTGCTAGAAAGGTTATAAAAGAAGTTTTTCTAAACATGGGTCATGACCTTAGGTAACACATGACTCTTCTTTAATCATGCTATCTTTCAGGGAACAGAAAATGTTTGTGGTTTGAATTAAAAGGACCAAGAAGTAGCTGTATCTTAGGTTAATAATGTATTCATATTCAGTGGATGTTTAATGAGCACCTACTACCAGTGACAGACACTTTAGAAATTAAGATGAATAAGTTACCAAGAAACTTACGGTTCAGATGGGCGATGAGACACCTGCCCAAATAACCTAACACAGGACCACACAAAATTCAAAGTGTATGAGAACTTGGACATGAGTGATTACTTCTGTCTGTAGTGTGGAGTCGTAGGGAAAGGAGAGAGAAGAGCAGTGATTAAGAAAGGCTGTGATTTGTATGTGAGCTGAGCCCTGAGAGATGGATGGGGTCAGCTTGTGGAACTGAAGAGTTTCCATAGCAGGCATGTTGCAGAAGAGGTCTATGTCTTAGAAAGATCATTCTGTGAGTTGTCTAGGAAACATCAGAGAGGAAAAGAGAGATGTATTTATTCCTAGCACCTGCAAGAACACACTTTTGATTTCCTTCATTCCTAGTTACATAAAGTAAAAGAGTAACTTTCCATTCTGAACCAGGTAAGCAGATACTGACTTGTTTTTCTTCTCAAGGTTGACTAGTGGGTTTATCATGGCAGTAAATGCTAGTTTGTGAAGGCAGGGTTCCCAAAGTTTTTGTTTGAAAACACTTAAGGTAGGTTGAGTTGAGAGGATGCCTTATTTGAACATCTGCACCAGACAAAGGGTGAAATATGAATAATTTTCAGGTTTCTCTAACTCAGTGAATACATGAATGCAGCTAAGTGAGGGATTCAATATCTATGTTTTTGGGAGAGAGAGAATTTATTAGCACTTAAGGCCCATAGTTTGGCTTCTCCCCAGAACTTGGGAATAACAAGACTGTCCTCTGAGATTTAAACCTGGGAATTAGCACTTACTAGGTTATGGCAGACACAGGTAAAATTACTTCAAAGACATAAATAGAAAGTCCTCATGTGGCAAGAATATTAAAAAAGGATATGACCCATGAGGAAGGGAAAGTGGTCACAGCCGCAGAATCCTAGGAAAACGACTGGACTTGTTTGTCTACAGGGCAAGAATGAGCTGGTCCTGAGGATGACAGCATTCTGAATTCTGTGACAGCTGTATTTCTTTGTAAATTAATGCAAAATCAACATTCGATTTTATATATTATTCATAAAACTCCATTAATGTAAGTCCACAGCAGAGGGGGTTCTGGCGGCAACATTCAGGTTTCTGAGTCAGCAGAGATTGAGAGTAAAATCGGAAATATAAATATCATCCTGTGACAACGTTTGGGCATGGCCAGTTGGCTCTTCTACAGGTAGACAGGTATCCCTCCATGTTACCAGCGGCCATGACGTTTCTTCCCCTTTGGATCTTTACAAGCATTGTTAGCTCTTCCCCATAATATGAAATGAAGCCAGTAATAAGTTTAATGGAAAAATTTAGCAAATTTCCCTAACTGCTTAGGGAAAACAGATTTCCCATTGAAGCATACACCACACTTTCAAGCAACTTGATGGCCAATATGAAATGTCTCATTAATTTGTTGTCAAAGTTCCTAGAAGCAACATATGATTAGTTTTTCCTTTTAAGTTTTGAAAGACGATTACTTACCTTGCCCTATAGAACGACTTGCAAAATTATACATATTCAAGGCTATTGCAAAGTCTTCCAAGTTGTTCAAAAACTGGAAAAATGACCTGAATTCGTCAAATGTGATGCCCTATATTAAGAGAATATATGTAAATATATTTAGTTTTGCCAAATTTATTACAATAAATATCCATACTTACTAGAAATAAATAGATTAAGCATCTGCAATGTACCTTGTAAGTAAACATTTCCAGGGCACATTCTGAAGCCTCCTTTCTCCAAATTAAATGTAAAATTCACTCAATTTCCACTGCATGCGGTTGCTACCATTAGCAATGCTAGGTGAAAATATTTTTAGAACACTGTCATATCAGCACAGTGTTTCAAAAAATAATTCAACAAAAATGAATAAAAAAGTTACAATTGTGGTAACTCTGTATTTCAGGCCTAAATTTTTTAAACCCTGAAAGTAACTATGATTAAGAAAAAGAAAAAAAAGTAAGAGGAAGACAACCCCTAAAACACCAGTTTCTCCCGTACATGTATTCCTTAAATGTAACTTAGCATTAGGTAGGTCATCAACATCTGTAATAATGACAATGCAAAAATCAACATGCTGAGTAAGCCAAAAGCAGTGTACTTTTACTTATTTCTGTCGTGATAATACTGCCAGGATAGCAGGAGGAAGTACAATGAGTGTACACTTATAGTTCTGGGCCCAACACCGGGCCTTGGTGAGGGACCATGGAAAGGCTTCTAGAATGTCATTTACATAAATTGCAATTATTGCTACTGCTACTAGTTCAATTAAACAGGAACATTATTTAAAATAAGCACAATGTATCTTAGATAATACCAATTTGGACATGAAGAGCTACATTTAATTATTGTGTTCTCAGCAAAACTGACATAATTGAGAAAGTAAACAGAAAAAGAGCAGAGGGCTAAGAGCTGGGGCTTAACAATTTCGCACTTTAAGGTAGAAGTAAAAGGAAAGGGAAACTAACAAGGCAGCATTGGAAAGCCAGGGAAAGAACCAGAAGAGTCTAATATAAGCCAACTACGGATTAAATGATTATCAAAATAATATTCATTACCAGTTTATTATCATAATAATAATACTAATTTTTGGTATACATTATTTCCACTTCACTTGCAATGCCTTTTTACTTACAAGGAGAATTCTCACTGTCTTTTTTCTTCACAATTTTCTCTCTTTTCTAATATTCATTTATGGACACTCCAACCCTGGATTCTGCTTTGTGACCCAATCCCACCTGCCATGTTTTCCAGGGAGGGCTGTTTGAATCAATTAGGGGGACTGAGCCAAAAGGGGTTTGTCTTGATGTGGAGAGCTTGTTGCTAGGGAAACTGGTCACTGTTCTGGTTCTGTATCAGTTTATGCTGCAACCAGCTGCCACAGCAATTTTTAAGCAAAGTATAAACAAAAATGTCAATACTTTTACGGAAGATAAGATTAAAAAGCAAATCAAGGAATGACAGAATAGAATGTTCACCACCGGAATCTTTAGATTTTTCAAAACAGTGTTCTGTTTGGAAAAGACAAGTCAAATTCAAAACCATACAGTAATTCTTCTATGTAGATTAAACTCTTTATGTTTGGAAATATGGAACTGTAAATTGAAAAATAGGGCATTCATCTTGATGGAGATAATTTAAAGCAATCCATTCTTAACAGCAGTGAGGGAAAGACAGTGTCAGGGAGAGGGAGGATGGTCATTTCTTCCTCCTCCCCACCCTCACCACCAGAATCACTTTTGTTAATGGAACATTTGGATTTGGATGAAATGTGTCCTAATTGTTAGAAGGGGAGTGAAAAGAAGTAACTTACATTTTATCAAAAACAAAATGATGATAACAACTGAAAAATTTAAAGCATCAAAAAGACATGAAACTGAGAGTTCAGAAATAAACCCAAATACCTATGATAGACTGATTTTCAGTAAGAGTCCCAAGGTCATTTACTGGAGAAAGAACATCTTTCTTTTTAACAAATGGTGCTGGACAACTGTATATCCACATGTAAACGAAAGGTATTGAACTTTTATTTCACTCCATATAAAAAAATTAACCCAAAATGGATCAAATACCTAAACTTAATAGGTAAAATTGTAAAAATCTTACAAAAACCAGAAATGAAAACTTCATGACCTTGGAATTGGACAATGGTTTCTTCCCTTTTTTTTTTTTTTAACATTGATATATTGTTTATTTTCAAAGTGGAAGGGATGTTGTTATCTCCTACTTGGTAATGGTTTCTTAAATATGACACCCAAAGTATGAGCAACAAAATTAAAAATAGATAAATGAGACTTTGTCAAAAGTAAACATTTTTGTGTATTAAAGGATACTATCAAGGAAAGTAAAAAGACAGCACACAGAATGGGAGAAAATATTTGCAAACCATATATCTAATGAGCTTCTAGTATCCAGAACATATAAAGAACTTTTTAAAAATCAATAACATAAAGACAACATGTTGAAAACATGGGCAAAAGACTTGAGTAGACATTTCTCCAAAGAAAATATACAAATGGCCAACAGGTACAGGAGCAGATGCTCAACATCATTATTCACCGGGGAAGTGCAAGTCTCAACCACAATGATCCCACTTCACATCCACTAGGAGGACTAAAAATAAAATGGCAGGCAATAACAGTGTTATTGTGGAGAAAAGGTAGAGAAAATAGAAACTTCATTCATTATTAATGGATTAATATAGTTACTTTGGAAAGCAGCTTGGTAGTTCTTTAAAATGTTAAAAATTAAGGATGCTTTGTGACCCAGCTATTTACTCTGAAGTATATATCTAATTCTCTGATAATTCAGAACATATGTCCACATGAAAAAATGCAGACAAATGCTCATAACAGCATTATTTAAATAGTCCAACTGGAAACAACTCACCAACTGACAAACAGAGGAAGTGTGGTATATCCATATGATAAAGTATTATGTGGCAATAAAAGGGAATGAAGTGCTGATATTTGCTAAAATATTGATAAACTCTGAAAAAGTTATGCTAAGTTAAAGAAGCCAGACACAAAGGCTCACACATTGTATGATTCCACTTACATGAAATATCCATAATAGACAAATCCACAGAAACAGAAAGAGGATCAGTAGTTGCTGTGGGCTGAGGGGAAGCGGAATGGGTTATGGGATTTCTGTGTAAGATGATGAAAAAGTTCTGGGACCAGCACTAGTGATGGTTGTGTAACATTGTGAACATAATTAATACCACCACATTTTACTCTTTAAGATGGTTAAAATGGTAGATTTTATGTTATGTGTATTTTACAATAAAAATGTACATATACTACTGAAATATGTCATTCAGGATGTGAACAAGCACTTGGATTGAACTGTGCGGCAAGGCATAAGTGAACACAACTGAGACAGTTGATAAGACATAATTCAGTACAAAGACAAACTAGAAAATGCGGAAGATCTCAAACTGCTACCGTAATTACACTGGTGGTACGGGCTGCTACCACGCCCCGCCTGCAGCCATGAGGGTGCTCCCAATGTGTGCACTTGTTTTTCTTCGGTGGAGGTGCATAAGCCTGAAATAATTCTTAGAAGACCAGGGTAGGGGGCCTAAAGAATCAATCCCTCCACTGAAACAACCATCAGCTGAGAAAGACTGACAGAATCAACTTTTTTGAAACTCCGGAATCGAATCTGAAGTTTACAGCAAGGAGGGGACTGAGCAATAAAGAGAAGGGTCGCTGAAATTCAGTGTGAGCCTTGTGGTGTTTCTGTTCACTGAACTACCATTTTCAGCTTTTAGTGCTATGGCAGCAGTTTTGGGACTAGCGGCTGATGTTCCTGGTGTGGCTTCCTAGTGCCAGAGGGCTAATACGGGCCTTGTTATTAACATGGTGTGGTATGGGATTTGGTTTGTCTGGTGGTTCCTTGAGGGACTAGTGCAGAGGCTGACTTTTGATTTGCCCCCTTGGTCTTGGACTGGTTTGGCTTTCATGGTGACAGTGACAACTATCGAAAGATATAAGGACATGCACACTCTGTGCCTGTTTGAGGCAAGGGATGACGGATGGGACAAGTGGCAGACAGAATCCAAAAACCTGGCAAAGAGAAGGCTGAGGAGAATGGTTATTGGAACAGGGGCTCAAAGGGCCATTGTAAATACATGGGAAATTAAACAGGCCCAGGAACTGACACATGCTTTGAAAAGACCTGAGTGGATGTTAGGTAACTACCTCTGGCAGATCTGTGGGCTTTGTGGAAATAGGAGATCAAGGCAAAGGAAGAGGCTTAGGTAGCCTGGCTTAGTGTTGAAGGAATGCTCCAGCTCAGAGCTGAACTGCAAAGACAGTACTATATGTATTTTTTTCTTCCTGGCATTAGGCATTTAAGGAAATCTCTGTCAGTTCTCTGGCTAATCACAAAGATAACAGAACAGAGTCTTCAGTGATTGCACATGACAAGAAATACAGTCTTTTCCATTTGTTTAGTGACTTTCCAAGCTACCTTGCAAATGGACAACCACAGGGGAGAGTCTGGTTTTTCAGAGTTAACAAAGCATAATATTCAAAATGCTTAGGTTTTAGCAAAAATTACAATGCATACAAAGAATTAGGAAGATATGGCCATTGACAGGAAAAAAAAGATCAACAAACCATCCTTGAGAAGTTTAATCATTGGACCAAATAGACAAAGACTTTGAATCAACTGTCATATACACTCAAAGGGCTAAAGGAAAACCATGGATAAAGAACTAAAGAAAATCAGGAAAACTACCTGTGAACAAAATGAGAGTATCAATAGATAGAAATTATAAAAAGGAACCAAATAAAAATTCTGGAGCTGAAAAGTACTATAACTGAAATGTAAAGTTGAGTAGATGCTCAGCAATAGATTTGAGCAATCAGAATAAAGAATCAGTTAAAAGTATTCAGTTTGAGGAGCAGAAAAAAAAAATAAAGAAAAGTAACAGAACCTAAGGAACCTGCAGACACCATGGAGCATACCAAAATACACATTATGGGATGTCCAGAAGGAATAAGAAAGAGAAAAGAGCAGAAAGAATTTTTTAAAAATAAGATTGAAAACTTCTGAAATTTGATGAAAGATAAGTCTATGCAT